TGTGTCAGGTGCCTTGCTTTGCAGTAGCTGTGGCAGGCAGGCTCTGGGATCTCCTTTCAAGCCAACCAGGACAAGTTTGGGAAGAGAATAGTTTATAATTTGCTGCCTTGCTAATAAAAGGGAGACATGGAAGAGAAGAGCAGTTGTCTGCTGGGCTGTGTGAGTGAGGAACAGACATCAGAGCTCTGCAGGTGCAGGGGAGGGTGGAAAAAGTCATGTTTGCAGCTCAGCCTGACAGCAGAAACAAGGGTGTTGAACCGAGGATTTTGTAGTGGACAAGGTTGGATGGAAACAGTTTAAAAGGCAGCAAGATAAACCCACTCAGGGCTGCAGCTGCTTCGTGATCCAGGACACAAATAGACGCTTTGCTTCACTATTCCTTTGGATTACAGCTACAGAGGTGAATTAAATTGGAGGCTGTTTTTTTTCAGGTGCCTTAGTGTTTTGGTATTTTAGAATTTTATTTCTCTGCTTTTCTATTACAACATTTCCTATCGCCAGGTTCTCATTTGAAAATGTAAGCAAAGAATTGTATGTTTTTATCTCAGGGTTAGATTAGACAGCATGATGATCAGTCAGATTCCCCTGACTGGCTGCCTTCAGAGAGCACTGGGGCTCTGTGCTGATCTAGGAATCTAATGGCACCTGCAGATTAAACCTGAAACAAATCAACAAAAGTCTGAAAAAAGACAAGGGTGCACAGTGTTCCTAAAATAATGCACAGTGTTATAAAATTATATATTTCTTATATAAATTTAATTCTCTATTTGAACAGTGTTCATAAAATAATATGTTGCTATCAGGTTAGCATTGGCTAAAAGGGAGACTTAGGATAACTCACCAAGCCTTTGGAAGAAACAGTAAAAGGACACTCAGTTAAAATATACTTGCTTGTCAGTCACCTCTCCATCATATTTTTCTTTTTCTGACAAGAATTCAGAGATGACCAATAAAATGAATAATATGAGACGCTGAGGACAAACCATTTGGGGTTACAAGAAACTGCTTTAGAACAAACTTGATACAAGGATAAGCCTCTCTATTTGAAGCAGTAACTCTGGCCATTTCTTTCCCAAATTTTCTCTCTGATATTTCTAATTGCAACAAGTCAGTTCAAATAAACCTGAGAGCACAATAGTCATATGGCATAGAGAGAGGTAAAAATTCCAAAGAACTGCAAATATATAGAACGTTACTGTCTTGTACTTGGAGGTTCCCAGGACTGATGGCAGGAAATGTGGGAATTCCTCAGCTGCTGCCCCTCAGTCCTGCTCTGGCACAAGGGCCTGGCAGGGCTGCTGGGTCTGCGGAACCTTCTGGCAATTTGAGCAGAACCAGATAAGGGTCCCTGCTTGTGCTCATGCTCTGCAGGAATTCTTCCCAAGTCCCACATTTACCATCCTATTTTATGCATAATGTCATCAAACTCTAATCATAAGAAAGAGAGTTAAATCTTCAAAAGGATATCCATTAAACATATAGATATGGATACATATAAATATAGAGAGAGATTTACACACTCATATACACGTACACAGTGTGCTTTATGTTTCCTTACTTCTAGGAGAACTGATCTGAACAATCATGCAGAAACAGAAGGCTGTTGGATTGGGAAATTTTTTTGCGACCATCACAGGGAGAGAAAAATGTGGAACACTATTTCACAACATGACACATGGATATTTTTTTTGGTAAAGTCTAAGAAAAAGTTGTGGCTATCATCTTTTTAGTTGTTAATTACACAGCATAAGTCCAAAAGTCCCCAGATGTAAAGAGACCTAAATATTTATAGTTGCATCTGCATATTTAAAATACAGTATCTTGCATATAATTCTATCACTCTATGGGGAGTATAATCTTGACAGAAATAAGATATTTTGATTCACTAGAAAATTCTTAAAAATACGGCAGTAACAAAGTAGTGAACAAATATAAAAACAATGATGGTATCTTTATATGTACATATAGTGAATTTCTTGGAATATATTATGTCAATCCTCATTTATTTCATCTTGAAATACCCAAACTGTTATTTCCTATATTACATCCAGTCTTGTAATAATTCCAAAACATTATTAGTGTCCAATATTGTGAAGTCAATGGCTTCTAAAAAAAGCCTCTTGAGCTCAGTGCAAAGAAACCCACATCCTAAGAGTTATTTCTGATGGAGTGCAGGACATTAAAATGCTGCTAGATGATATCCCAGCTTGGGTTTAAAGAATTAATGAAGAACAAATGTTCTAACTGACATGTAAGCATGAAATTCTCTCTGTGGGTTGACCTTCATTCTTCTGCAGTTAGTTAATGAGGATTCTCTCTGTTATCTTTCTTGCTGAAGAACCTCAGGGCCTTGTATCATTATTGAATGAACACAATGTCACCTCAGCTGGCAGTAATGTTTTGTCTTTTGTCAGGAAAAGAAGTTTCCTCGTGTCAGCTGGTGAAAGCACAACACGGCAACAAGCAATTGAGACCAGACATTTCAATTCAGCTAACTTAGCCCAGTGGAGATGTTGAACCTGCTGGAGTTGTTTTGATCAAAATATTCAGCCTTCATTATTCCACGACTCTTGCCTGTACCCCTCAAGTTTTTGATGCATTGTTATAAATTAATGATAAACAAAAGCATTTTATCTGGAGAGCTGCTCTCAATATTCCCCTTTTGACAGCTAATTGCCATTTGTTGCAGAACAGGATGTATTTCCTTTGAAATGAAAGCTTAAAGAACAGCTGCTTTTTATCCAATTCAAAATGACAAGTGTATTGTTAGCTACCTGAGGATCTTGTGAGGTGGGGATCACATCTGCTCACAAAACTGGAGCTGTAACTTTGAGCTCTTCTGTGAGCTGTAGCTATTATGCAGAGCTGCAGAAGTGGTAGAATGATAATTGCAAATTTCATCCAACATGAGTGTATTATTTGGGGTGCCTCTAACATTTGTATGGTTTCCCCATTGCTCAGGGTACCTATGGTTATTGCACACAGCAGACAAGTCCCTCTCTCCAGCAAAACCAACCCCCCCCAAAAAAAAGAAAAAAACAAAAAACAAACAAACAAAAAAAAACCACCAAAAAAATTCCCCTTTTTCTATCTGTACTTAAAACTGGCTCAGGATGAAAGTGCACATAGGAGGTGAGAAAAGGTGTTCATGGGAAACAGTGCAAGAAAAAGTTATTCATTAATTATTCATCCAACCATAACAAAACTCACAGAGCCACCCTGGCCTTGAACACTTGCAGGGACAGGGAATCTACAACTTCTCTGGGCAGCCTGCAGTGCCTCAGGCAGTGCCAGTGTCTCACTAACCTCCCAGCAGTATAGAATTTTTTCCCAATATCCTGTCTAACCCTGCCCTCTGTCAGTGGGAAGCCATTTCCCTCATCCTGTCTCTCCAGGTCCTTTTCCAAAGTCCCTCCCCAGCTCTCTTGGAGCCTCTTTAAGCCCTGGAAGGGGCTCTGTGGTTTCCCCAGAGCCTTCTCCTCTCCAGGCAGAGCAGCCCCAGCTCTCTCAGCCTGGCTGCATTGCAGAGCTGCTCCCGCCCTCTGAGCACCTCCCTGGCCCTGCTTTGCCACTGTGCTCTTTGCCATCACACAAAGACACATTCACATCTTAATAAATCACAGCAGCATCAGTCTGCTCTCTGCCAAAGCTTCATATGAGAACCATCCTAGAAAAGAAAAAGCATCAGTGATCAGGCTTTCCTTTGGAAGCGACATAGGCAGGAATTCTTATTCCAGTTAATATTTGTCTATTGTTTTAACTCAGAGATGCCCTCTCTCTAGGATCTTGATTAGAATTTCATTTTGCCACTTTTGCTTTTGAAAGTGTGGGAGAGCTAGGATATCATACAATAAATTGCATGTGATAAATCAGATAAGAAAACAAATATGGTTTGTTTTCAGATCACTCCAAGCTGAACTCTTGTGTGGGATAATAGTGATAATTTTATTTAAATGGGTTAGCCTACTTTAATACTGTGAAGAGCAATAGTCTGTTATAGTCTGTGTCAAGGTAATGAGCAACAGCAAATGATACCTGAAATTATATATTTTCAGAGGTTTTTTCATGTTGCACTTTGCCTTATAGTCACTTTCCCTTTTCTTTTAAAGTGTATTAGATTATTAGATACACATTATTATCAATCCCATTAGTTATTAATGTAAAATGGGAAGGAATGGCATTTGTGAGGTTTTTTTATCCAGTATTCAGCCTGAGTCTCATAAACTGCATTTTTGAGCTGACAGGGACATATGTTTTCTTAAAGTCATTAAAATAATGCTGTATTAAATACTTATCTAAAGTAAGACAAGTACAACTGTGATACCTTCTGGTTATTAGGATTCATATGTCTAATATACATTCATTTTGGAGTCCCTTAGGGGACAGCCTTGTTATTAATACAGCAAAGAGCAGCTGAGTGAGCATATGGTTTATTAAGACATGCTTATATTAATTATATGTGAATACTATTCAAAAGGGTCACTGTTCTCTAACTGAGAGACCCTTTGTGATCACTGCTTAGGAACTCAAAGCTCAGTAGGATTATTCTTGATCCAATCTATTTGTCTCTGGCTGGAAAAATCATTATATTTGTGTCTAGGCTGGAAATTAAAGAAACACTTCAGAACTTGAGGACAACTCAAGCAATTAATGAATATGCAAAAGGGAAGGAAATTTTGCAGGCATGATGATACAGAGTGTGAGAAGTCTAAAGCTCACATATTTCTGTAATACTTTATGCAGCAATCTGATCCATAATACAGCCTTGCACAATGTATACAGTAAAGCATAAAAAATTTGGTAGTTGCAGGCCAAAACTGAAAACCAGCTATAATCCCGTCTGCATGGCTCCCATCCATCTACTGCACAACTGATTTGTTTTTTGAATACTGTGATTCCTGCTCTGTTACCTAAAGCAGTGAATATTGCTGCTGATCTGTTATTCTCAAGGCTGTTTTTCATTGCAGGAGATGCCCCAGCCCACCCTGTGTCCTGCAGAGCATCGCTGCATCTTTCACTGGAGTGCCAGGCAGAAGATTGTTTCAGCATGAAAACAAAAGCCGCGCGGATTCCATCTTGGAGAAGGAGACCCAGTGGGGAGCAAGCTGAGGACTGCTCAGTTTTATCTTTATTGTTCCCACTCTAAAACTCCTCTGAGCCCAGAAGAGGTTCAGTTCACACCTGACACGTGGGCTGACGTGTTCTGTGTCAGCTTTGTGTGACTCCTGAGCAGCTGCAGGGCTCCTGTGGCAGAGCTGGAGCAGAGCAGGCTGCCCTTGGTGTCCCTTGGCTCCTGAGCACAGGCTGCACAGGGCACAACTGCAGGGAAAACTGCACCAGGAGGAAAGATGGTCTCATTAATGTGCCTCCTGGTTCCGTGGATAGAGAATGCCATATTGGATATTTCCCTCTGTTAGCAGCACCTGAAAATTCAAACATAACGTGTCGGGCTCCAGAGCTATGAAAGTAAACCTGAACAGTAAGAACAGCCTTCCAGTAAGATTTTCTATTCAGTATATTTCTATAGTTTTTGAAAATTCGGGCATATTTCTCAGTATTACATCAAGATTATTATTAATTCACATCTGAAGTCCTTTCCCCATCATGCCATCAGTCTTGAGGCACTGAGGCATTAATACAGGCACCTGCTTTTTTCAGTACAGGGAGGCATCTGTTAGTTTCATTGGAAATCCAGACATACATTTATAGAATGTTTGGTGGCTGAAATGGAATTTTTATCTATTAAGTTTCATATTTAAAGCTTTTCTTTTTCTTTTATGTCATTGTTTTTTCCTAGCCTAATTAGTAAACACTGCTGGTGTTTCACAGATATTAAGTGTCCTGGAAGCTGGAAAACAAAGTTCTTAAATGATGGTGTAGTTGGTAAAGGACTGAAATCTTCGGACACATTCAAACTGAAAATACTTGAATTGTAAGGAGTTGAGCATTTGAAAATTGACACAATTCCATAAAGTCTTATAACCAGAAGAGACAGGTGTTGTACTTTAATCACACTAGAAGAAACAGCTGATGTATAGTGCAACAGCAATAATTCCAAGCTAGAAGCCTACAAATAATCTAGCTGCAAATTATATTGTCAAGAGAATCCAAATACTTTGTAATATATTCTAATGCATATTAATTTGAGAGCCCTATAGGGGACAGTCTTGTTATTAATACACAGAGGAACAGATGTGATAGCATATGGTTTACCAACTTGTATTTATGTTAATTCTATGTAAATAGGATTTTAATAAGGTACCATTAGTCTATAGCTTCATTTTCCTAATATGTCTTTCTTCTTTGAAGATAATGGAATTATCTAAATTGGGGTCTAGGTTCATAGGAAAGGTTAGTGGAAAGAGTCCATTTTATGCAAGAGATAAAAGAGGGTAAAAAACCATCCCTTCTTGAACATTTTATCATCATTTAAGCTTTCAATGAAGAAGTTTGAATTATTTTATTCACCAATTCTGCCATTTCCAAAAACTGCTTGATACCTACTCTTACCATTTTTAGATTCTTACCTATTTTGTGTTGATTTTTGGTAGTTTGAACTTCCCATTCACCTGTCTTTGGGAAACTTGCGAAATCTAGTAGAATGCCATACCATTCCCAGCATTGTCTTGTGTCTGATATCTATTGAACTTGGAGTGCAGCTCCTCTTGGCTGTCAGCTGGAAAAGCTGTGAGTGCATTTCTCAGTCAGCTCAGGCTTCTCGGCAGCTTTCTCTGGGGCACAACTTTTTTTAATTATGCTCCCAGGCACTGCTTGGAGCCATTTCAGTTTGAGATGAGAACAGAGTAAGCAATCTGTGTTCCTGCAAGCAGGAGAGGAAATACAGCACTAATCAGCACTAGTGCTTCAGAGGACTTTGGAAAAGTTTCTGCCTGCTATTAGAAATTTCAGGTTTCAACTGTTGAATCAAACTTTTGTGCCACCTTCTGTTGAGCTGCACTGTTATAGTTTGGAAAATTAAGTTTGTGTGTCTGGCCTAAAAAGCCCTAAGTTTCATTGCCTCGAACTTCTAGTTAATACTGGAAAACTGTAAATTGAGGAAAAGAATTATTTCTTTCCCCAGTAGAGCTATTGCTTTCTTCTTTCAAGAAAAAAAAACCCCACTTTTGAAACTTATTTTGCAGATCTAAAGAAGAGGGAGCTTGGAGGGTGAGAAGTGGAAATGCTAAACTTGTTTAAGCTTAAATGCAGCTTATAAAGGAGTCTAGCAAAACTTTGTTGTGCAGGTATGTCAGAAATACTTTGGGTTTAGTTGATTTCATTTTTCCTCCAAGTTTAGAGAAGTTGTTTAGAATAGCCCATGTGCCAGCGTTCTGTGATGATGTTTTGAATAAGTCAGCAGAAGGATTTGGAATTGTAATTATTTGAAAAATTCTGATAAATGTAATAATTCAGTGTAAATACCAAAAAAGCTTAGGGTGCTTGGCTCTTCCCTAGTCTCTTCCTCAGATCTTGGGTGTAATCAAGGACCCACAAAAGTAACAGGTGATTCTTTCTAGCAAAATTCTACTGCTAGGGTGTAGTGGAGAGGGCAGGAATGCACAGAAAGGGTAAGGCTGAAAGGGTCCAACTTCCCTGCTCCGGCTTTTGGATATAGCAAATATACATCTGGACAACTCTATGGAAACAGTACTTAGGACTCATGAGACAATGAAAATGCTTATTTTTTTTAATTCTCTAGAAAGATAAACAAATACCCTGGAAAAAAAAAGTGAAAACTGAGCAAAACAATTTTAAAAATTTAGGAGTTTTGTGTTCCTGTGTCTATTTTATATAAACTATGCTGAAAGTGGTCAGCAAGGAATATTTCCTCTCACCACGAGATACATCTCTGCTCATAGTAAGAAACACTGGAGATTCATAATACTTAAAAGTGAAAGGACTGTTTGTGTCATCAGCAGCAGGGGATATCTGATCATACATCTTTACCTGACAAGAGGTGGCAATTTAATCTGACAAGTTTCCTGCCAATGAGGACAGCTTTAGGAGTTCAGCTGCCTTGGTAAGGATTTGACATGTCACTGAGGGATGTTGTGCACAAGCTTGACAATAAACTGGAACTTGCTAATTCAGTTTAGGGTAGCTGCGAAAATTTATTAGAAACCAGAGTCTGTAAAATTACTGTACTGCAGAAATGTTTTTCCTTCCCTGCTGAATATATGTGATATTTAATGCATGACACATATTTAAAAATTTGTTTCCTGATCATGTAAAACAAATCCACAGTAATGCCCATGAAATGGCAAGGAATTCTGTTAAAGACATGGGAGAATAAGCAGAATTAGAGGGCTGCCTTCTGCATCCAGGGGAGAAGCCTGTCTAAATGGAAGGTTTGGTTGCTGAATCAATGAGTCCTGGTTGGAAATCTTATTATTGTACCTGGACAGGGCTTGTGGCCTTTAGAGGCATGAAAAGCTGCAGGTGCTGAGGAACACTTGCAGCTGGACACCAGGCTCATGATATGGGTACTGGACCAAAGCTTGCAGACACCTTTCAGCAAACACTCTAAATGCTCTTTTAATTCTGGCTACCAGCTGAACATCAAGGAAAAACAATTTTTGTTTTTTTTTGCAAAAGTAACTCATTTCAATGTGTGTAGGGGGGATAGAAGATAAGAAAATAAAGGTAGTGTAGAAAGTAATCTTACCCTAAGGAGCTGCAGCTGGGCCAATTATCAAAGATCAGGAACAGGCCTGACTTTACCAGGCCACAGCTGTAAGCAATGAGAAGAAGATGCTATAACAGAGTGGGGTGGCTGGGTAAGGGGATCTGGAGTCAGTGGCTGCTTTGTGAATAAGCAGCTGAAGCAGTCAGTGCTCTGAGGGGGTGCCCATGAGAAACACCAAGAAGGTACGGAACTTTTGTGATAAGGAGACAACAGTATGGAACCCCTGCAATCAGATGACAATAAATGTGAAGTGAAAAAAACATCATCTACATATGAAATAAATTTTTAAGTTTGATATGGGGATTTTTGAGGTGTTTGGGATAAGGTATTCCTAGTCTCAAATGGTAAAACAGATCTTGTGGCAGTTCAGGACTCTGAGATGTGTGGGCAAATGCCACCTGGAAGAGTACTAGCTATGAGTTCACAAAATTTGTGAATAAACTTTTGAGTGAGAGAAGTTTGTATAAAAAAAAAACTGGAAAGAATTGAAGGATCTGCCAGAGTGCATATTAAATCATAGAGCCTCTTTTGAATCATTTCCTAGTTAGCTCTTGATAACCCTTGCAGAAAGGCACATTTAATACCCCTTTCCTAATGTGGGTATTTTTATAATTTCTAACCCAGCAGTAATCTTGAAATTTCATGTAACAGAAAATGGTGTCATTGAAAATTTCTTTGATTGCTGAAGAAAGATGAATCCTTGTACTCTTGCTGCACACTTTGTGATTTCAGCTGAGGCAGATGTCTGCACAAACTATCCCTAATAGTGTTTTGATAGATTTTTGTAGTTGTCAACATTAAGGTGGGTTATGATACCAAAATCCTGACTCTTCTTCCTAATGGCTGCCTTTAGTCAAAAAGGGAGTAAATTAAATGTCAGAGCCTGCTCCAGAACACACATAAGTTGGTACATATCAAGGCTGGGAAAATCCCAAGAATGTTTCAAAGCTTAGTTTGTCCTAATTTGTTCCTTTTATTCTCTTAGTACAGAGAGGCTGTATTGATCTCACAAGTTAATGAAAAGCCTACAAAAGTCTTCAGAGAGTCCTTCCAATGGCTTTCAAACACATTACAACCAATTAGGAAACCGAGGTCACCATGGGTGTCGTGGTGGCCAGAGCCAGCCTGAGAGTGCACAGGGAGCTGTTCTCAGGATGGGCTCGCACCTTCCACCTGGCTTTGCTCTTTCTGAAGCTCTGTTTCTCTCTGTAGCTGCAGTTGCTCACTAATTGCACACTTTGGCTCTCCTTTTGGCATATTTCTGGCATGTGGTGACATCAGCAGTCCAATTGTATTTTAATTTAAAGTAGTTCATGGACTTCAACAGCATGTCCTGGCATCTGGGATCTTGATGGGGAAAGAGGCTTGAAAGAAGGGAATGCAGTTTTGTGGAGTAGTGTGTGCAAGGGGACACCTTTTTAATAAAATTCCTTGGACAGCAACCTGCATTTTGTAAGTGATAATAAAAGAGCAAAGGTCAGTTAGGGATCTTGGGTTGTATGTAATTTCATGCTATTAGGCCTGATGACACGATTTGTATTTGCTCCTGACTCTTGAGGTGGCTTCTGTAATGCTGTAACAACTTGGCCATTGGACTGCAGAGTGTAAGCACCGTTCAAAGCCAATTTGTGCTGGAAGGGAGTTATATTTTGGTAATAAACAAGAATATCCTGCTTTGAGCATGGTCTAACTGTTAAAATATACTCAAAATAGATGGAAAATTAGGTGTAGCACCAGGGGGATTTTTCTTGTTGTTTAAACAAATATTGTAATAATGAAATTAATACAAAAAGTAGTGTCACAGACTCTAG